TGGGGCTCTTTATCTTGGAGAAGAGGAGACTTAAGGGTGACCTGTATAATGTTTCTAAATCTGTAAAGGGCGAGTGTCAGGAGGAAGGAGCCAGGCTCTTCTCTCTCATGTCAAATGATAGGACAAGAGGCAACGGGAGCAAGCTGGAGCATAGGAGGTTCCATGTGAACACGAGGAAAAATCCTTTCACTGTGAGGGTTACAGAGCACTGAACAGGCTGCCCAGGGAGGTTGTGGAGTCTCCTTCTCTGCAGACATTCAAGACCCGCCTGGATGTGTTCCTGTGTGACCTGGTCTGGGTGATCCTGCTCTGGCAGGGGTTGGACTGGGGGAGCTTTCAAGGTCCCTTCCAACTCCTAATATTCTTTGAATTTTAAAATACTAAAAGAACAGTCTACCAAAGAGCCAGCTACAGTACAGACTGAGAGAATTTAATAATACCTATGACAGATGCTTCCTTCTTCAGTGCAGAGAACGCCGATCGTGCAGAGTGATGGTTCAAATCCACCAGAGCTAAAGCGTACGAAGTTATTGCCATAGTAAAGGGGCTTTGAGCAGACTGCACATTTTTCATCAGATAATCCCCTGCTTTATTTTTAGCATCATGGATTTTCTGAAAAGATGAACAGGCTACAGCTTACATCTATTAGACTTCTTTTTAAAGAAATAGTTCTATCAAGACAGTATAGATAGATACAGTCTTTTCTACAATATATCTTATAATAAAGTGATCCAGTATTTCATTATTGTTCTTTTACCGATTTTGACAAAGACTAAAAATCAAATAAATCTTAATTTTTGAAATTGAAAAAAAGCCTCTTGATTTCTTTGAACAACTGTTAAAGGAAATGGAAGAATGTAGAATCCCAGAATGTGACTGCTGGTAGAAATAAAAATATTATTTACCTGAGTAGGACATATTTTAATTGACTTTTCAATTCCAATAACACAAAATGCTGTGAGATACAAAGTTTTTTCTTTAGCTTCTCTAGGTAATGTACCCTATAAAATAAAATATATAAATGTAATTAAATAGAAACAACAGTTAATTTAAAGAAATAGAACCTTTTACAGTTTAGGTGAAGAAACAAATAGAATCTGCCAGTATGTTGAGTCTTTTGAAGGTAATAGCTTATTTGTAAAAAAAAATTGACAAAAATTACATAAAGTTATTGGCAAACCAGGACTACTGTAATGTAAAATCAACCGACTTTTTTTGCCCTAAATATTAAGAACTGAGCGAGCAGCTACTTTTAGTGGGAAAACAGAAAGGCTTCCAAGATTGTGCTGTTCTTTAAATGAATTTTTTTTAAATTGAAAATTTAGCAAAATTGTCTGGAATAGGTGGTCATGGTGAAATGCAGCCTAAAATACCTTGCATTCCTAAAACATATTACCCCTCCTGACAACTTCAGCTTTTGCTGTATATACACAGAAAATGTTTGGGTTTCATACCTGTAGTTTCACTGGTTGGTAATCTGAAAATTCACTGAATGACCCATCTGGCATTTGACAGTTATCAATCAACCACAGAAGTGAATTACAAACAGAAATCTGATCAAGATCTATATATTTATTCACTTGTCCAAGAATCCTTAAAGCAAAAGCTGTCAGCCTGCCAAGGAAATCAAACATATCATATTTGTTTTGATCAGCAGATACCACCACATTGCTGGAGGCTAGGCACAAATTTGCACTATTTATGATTTTATGTATCCTCCACACTCCCACTGACACACGCTCCCTCCTGTTTCATAGCATTTAAATATCATATTGGTGTGAAAACCAGGTATGAGTATTTTGCCCTTGCTCATGTCCCTGTACTCAGCTTTCCTTCTGGGGGTGCAACCTTTGCCTGAGCTTACGATTCTGCAGGGAACCAAGTCCTTTCCAGTCCTTTTGTAAAATTCCAAGCCCAAAGAAGAGGTTTCAGAACTGAGCAAAATCCTGGAAATTATCTCAGATATGTCTATTTCTAACCATTGGCCCAAGCTGATTGTAATGGTGTTAATTACAGACACAAAGAAAAGATTTAGCAAGTGAAAACGAGGAATCAGAAGATATTCTTCAAACCTGTAAGCATCATTTAAATCTACCATCAAGCTCACCGCTCATGCTTACTAGAAAGTATCACCCTTTAAAAATTACTTGGACTATGAAAGCAAAGGAGTGAAACAAGCCTTTCCCACCCTTTCTAATCAAAAGATCTTTTTAACTCACCAGGTGCTAGCTTGCTGATTCTTCCACATGCTATATGAGAAGTCAGAATTTCTGAATGACAAGATGCTTACAATTCCTAAGGGATATATTAAGCAGAAAATAAGTTATGAAAAGAGATTTATATTAAAATTGTATTCGCTCACTCAGATATATTATCTTTCTAATGCAGCAAACTTAATGCACCTCTACAACTCTGAAGCAAGAGAGGAAACTGTTTTTCTACCTTCTTTCATCTTCCTCCTCATTTGTGTTCTTGAAGTTAAGGTTTGAGGACCCAGTATATGCCAGTTATTTGACTCTTCCAAGTAGCGAAACACATAAAACACTGGGGCAATACTCATAAGCTCTGCCTCTGCACTGCCCTTTGGCAGATTAGTAAGAATACTGAGACCATCAGGACTGAGGACTGTGGCAATTGCTTCGCCCATCAGGTGTCCTGTGGAAAGAAAAAAACCAAAATTTATTTAAATGAGAGGTCATGAAAGTGAATCAAAGGGCAGAATCTAACAGATGTTTATAAGCAGTCATTCTATATGAAGTATTTAAAATCCTACACAAAAAGATGATCTGCAAAGCCTTTCCTTAAAAGCAGGAGAACCGAGGTATAAATTCAGACAGATTTAAACAAAGGAATAAGAAATAGGAGGAAAAGAATATATGCAGTAGACTAGAAGTTTCAATTCAGTTTACCTTTTACACTGACACTTCTCTCAATTGTTGTTTTAGGTACCAGATTTAGTGGGATTTTATATCGAAATTCCTGTCTTCTCTTGATTGAGCCTATAAGGGAAAATGTATCTATATCATACTGCACAATCTAAAGGACTAGATATTTCAGATGCAATAGTCAGATTGAAAGGTCACAACTATCTGAGAAGTCAGCAATAAAAATACCTGTAACATGAAAACTAGAGATGTGCCCAAACGCACACACAAACAGTGTCAACCTTTGAAAAAGAACAGATGGGAACATTTCAATCTTTCTTTTGCCTTTTTTAAGAAAAAAATCTGATCTGGACCTAAACTTTGTGGTTTCAGGTTAATCTCTGGTTAAATGAGAACATATTCTGCTTTCATTAATAAAACACTTGCTAACTGGTTTTTCAGCACACTGAGGAAAAGCTCAGTATTATGTTATAGTAAAAGACAGATATAAAGGTGCCTTTAAGAAATGAATCCAGGGGGTTTTTTTAAGACTAGCTATTTTGAGATGGATTTGCCAGTCCCTTGGAAGGGACACACGAAGAATATTTCAGGAAGAAATTTCAGGGAGAAATGCAAATTCTTTCATATTACAGAAAAATTGTTCATCACGAATCAATAACATGAAAAAATAAACAAAGTAAAGACATATGTGACCTGTTCTCTTACCATAAACACCCTGTGGATCCAAAGTGAAACCTGCATGAATTTCTTTCTTAATGCCTTCTGGCTGAAATCATTAAGAGGAAAGAAGTAGAAAATGAAAATACTTTCCCTTAATCAAATTAATTAGCTGAAACAACAGTTTAAAACCATAATAGTTTTGCCTTCTACATCCTTCTCTGTAATTGAGTAATACTCAACCGTTCTACATCTATTCTACATACATTTAAGCTAGTGTTCTATCTCCCAAAATTATGGAGAAAATTTAACAAAAGATTTAAATAAAAGCTTAGGAAAGTGTAAAATTACAAAAAAGTGTCTCTCAGTGAAGTACACTTAAGTTGTAAACCCAAACCAAGTCACTTACAATACAGTATTCTCCTTGCTTCCTCAGGTACTCAGTCATGTATTTTCCACTGCATACACCTCAATTAATTCAATGATATCATGTGATATTTTGGATTCTGATAACATTAAAATAAATCAGTATTTATATATTGATATATTTTTATTTCTTGTGACTGAATCAATATGAAATTCAAAACCACTACAAACATTTTGATCTCTTTTCTTACCATTACACGTAACGTTTTAACCACAGTTTCACTGTTCCTGGCTGTCAGCAATGTAAAGTTGATCGTGTGAAGACCTAATTCCAAAGGAAGTATTCTGAATGTAACTGGTGATGAAGAACCGCCATCTAGATTCTTAAGATTACAATTGCGTATCCTCGATCCCGTATTTGCAGAATCTCCAAAAGAACAGATGCCATTTCCAGTTGCTATTTTAACACAGAACTGAAATGTTGAAAGACTTTAAATGTTTCACTTCCATAACAGGTACAACACCAGAGTCAGTTAAAGCGACTGAAATACTATAAGGAGCATTCTATTACTGTAGTACTATTTTTCTGTTTACAGTGAGCAAGCGTAACTGACTTTGCAATTATTATTTGCACTAGAGACAAACTAACAAATGTGCATTAGCAACACCAGGGAACCACTACACATCTTCATACTTCATACACATCTCTGCTTCACACACATACCTCTGCATACTATATTTTTTTCAATAATAATTTTGCTTTTGTTTGAATGTAATGCCTCAAAATGTCCTTTTATATTAAATCCCTAGGCAACATAATCTGTGAACTCTGGAGCAGGTAATTCAAAAAGCCCCATCACCTTTTACACTGTGCCAAACAAGTCCAATAGAAATAATATATTTAAACTTTCATGAGACAAAGTTGCTAGGCAAGAGCTTGACAACCTCATAATCAGTGGCTGGAAATGAAACAAGTAGCGACTGGATTTCATCCTCACATCGTTCACTAGAGCACACATAACACTAGCTGAAGGACTGGAGAAATCTGATCCAAGGATCTGTTTATACTGGATACTCACAGGGGAAATGTTTTTTTAGTTCATTATGTTAATCTTTCCATAGAACTCACTAAGACCACAAATTACCTTAATTGCAGAAGCTTTATGGTTATAAACAGATCCTTTTAACTCAATTTGTTCTCCTCGCACCACAGAATACGGAACATGAACGCTCAGGAAGATATCTTTTACCACTTGTACTTCCAACGGTGCAGCAACACATATACCTAGGGAAATCAGAAACATAAAAGCAGAATATTTTATCCAGCCTTCTGATTAATACGTTTGAAAAAATCTTCACACACCTTTACAATGATGCCTTATGTTTCAACTTTGAAGTTGCCCAAGCTCTTTTAAAACTGATCAGGCTTTACTTGCTGTTCCAAGGTGCCATCTCCCCCTCTCCACATATACTTGCTGACAGACCAGTCCTTTGGGCTTCTTCTCCTCCCGAAGTAAGAAACACATTTTCTGTTTGGACTATCATATCTATTGGAAATCTTTTATTATGGGCCACTGTCAAACACAAGATCTTTCTTTTCCCAGCCACTTACATTCATATCAAGAAATAAAATAACTTCCTTTCTCTAAAATATATATTTTGAAGTTTTGTTTTCCTGTTTATCAACCAAGAAGTGAACAATTTAGAACATATGTGTCAACTGCAATGAATGGTTCTGCAAAATTCAAAAGGAAAAGCTCCCTAATTCTTTCGTTATAATCTAATTAGGTTGCAGTACCTACCTTTATCAGAAATGCCAACTCCTTGTACTTCCCAGGTAGTAAGCGAATCAGGCAAGGTGATAGAGAGAGTCTTTGACCTGTGTTTAGAATTATTAGTACATTTAAACATTATCAATAGCCATCTGCTAACACCGGCAGCTAAACACAGACACAGTAGGTGCCCAGAGCAACTCCTGTATCTGAAAGAGACTCAGGTATTTAAAAAACAGGAAGTCTGGATTTTTCTTTGAATAAACTTGGGTTTAGCCAACTTTACAGAAGCTGGTGTTTAGCAGGGTTGAAAATAAAAGGCAAAGTGACTCAACCATTTGGATGCCAGACAGCATATCCTGCGTAGAGGAAAAGATGGCAGGAATAGCTTGTTTGTGTAAGACTGCATTTTAGCACACAGCTTGGGTACTACTAAGGCTACCCAGCTTAGCTCAATTTTAGCATTTACTTTCTATAAAACTGATGACTAAGGCAGATGTTGGTGACTGATCTGAGAAAAGTATTACCTTGGAGAAGCCTGGTGAACTTCCCACAACCAGCTTTCAGGGAAGTAGCTACGAACTTCTGCCTCATCCAGTTCCAAAAGAGCCTCAAAATCTGAAGAACATAAATAAAACCAATTAAAAAAAACCCATACCAACAACATCTACCAACGGTCTTCCACCAAAGGCTTCAAAATCATTATAATTTTCTTTTATGACACTGTATTCTGCTTACTTGCCTCAGGTTAGTCCTGATACAAGAAGAAAGGTATCAGAATACCCTTTGTCAAAAGTCTGCATTAATCCTACCTCATCTCTTTACACATGTGAATACCCATCCAATAGCCAGCAACTATATGGAGAGAATGGGAGACAAGAAATTTCTCATTCCCCCTGATCTTTCCTGAGATGTTGTCCATTGGCTGTTTTGGGCCTTGGTAAGGGATTCAAATTTAGCATTGAAGTTCAGCATTGCCTTCACAGGCAATGACGCTTTCTTACTGCAGCTCTGCTTGTTCAAAATTAACCAAATAAAGAACTGCTCTCCTACCTCTCTTCAGGGGTATACTTTGAAGACTAGTAAAATTCCCTCTGGAATAACCCTGATAGGTAATAAGAAGGAGTTAATAGATTAATGAAGCTATCACCTCTGTATTTACCTATATTCTGCTGGAAGTGTTTCAACACAGGCCCACAGGAGAGTTAAAGCTCTCATACTTACGCATTCTTGCCAATATTAGAAGCTTATTAGGTTCTTCCTCCCGCAGCCTGTTTGCAAATTCACAGCAATCTCTGAATGCAGAAATGCACTTTGCATTACTCCGAATCCGTTGAGCTCTATCACTGCAAGTCTCAGAGACTGGATATGCTTTCACTCCAGCCATGCAGCACTTTCGAATTTCTGGATGTACGTATTTGGATGCTGAAATAACAGTAAAATAATTGCCTTTCTTGAGATGAAGATTTTATTTTCAAATACATCTTAACCCATTATAGTGGGTGTATTTTTATAACTTGCAGAATTTGAGATTTGAGGATGAACGAACTTGTCACTATTCAAAAGCTAGTGACACACCTTTAATCGCTACTATTCTGAATTAAAAATATAAGTTAGATAAGAGGAGTTTTGTTGCATTTTCAGATTTAACAGCCAAAGGTTTTTCTGACAGGCTTGGTCCCTGGCAGGTGGTCACTGGGAAAGGCTGCCATCTGGGAGTACCGTGAGTTTTCAGGTTATGTCTCTTCAGAAAAAGAAAAGATCTTAAACATATGCTGTATTTTCTTGCTGACTGCAAATTCAGCATATGGCTAAGAGGCTTTATAAATGGGGCCTCTCTAAAGTCATCTTACATATCTGTCAGTCTCTCTCCACCACATTAAGTTATTATTAATAATTAAAAGTAGTAAGCAAGCACCCAGGCTCTTGATTTCTAATGGATGTGATTTTTTCCATTATTATATACTTTAGAAGACTTTTTTAACACCTTCTTTGAGTATCCGCTCCTTGAAGTCAGATCGTTTGGTTCTTAAAACTTCGTTGCAAGTTTCACCTGTTCAAAAAACAAATAAGTACAAAAGACCATTTTTGTAATAGAATAGCCCACTTAAAAATAATTCCATAAAATAACATGCAAAATCTGGGAGACTTTTTCTGTTAACTATTTAAATTACATAAAGTTATTTTCATTTCATTTACAATAGCTGATCCACAACTCATGTTTTCCTTCCTCAAAAATCATTAGTATATGCATTCCCTATTAATGTAATGAAGTTTCAACATAATAACTGAGAGTTGCAATAGAATGTTTCAGAAAAGAATATCCACAATTTCATGCTTAAAACCAAGGAATATACCTGCTTCATTTGAATCATCAGCATTTGCATTAGTTAGAAATGTAAGCCCAGCCATTCTGAATACATCAACGTTGTTCTGTCCTCCTCCAGCACCACAGCCAAGGTCACTCTTTTCCAAATGTAGCATTATCTGAGGAAAAAACACATCGGCAGCTAACTACAATATGGATTATCATATGGTGAATGAGAAAGCTAGATTTGCAGAAAAGCCACTTCAGCCTGGACAATGTCCTCACAACACGCTGAAGTTGGTAAATCATTTACCAATATTTGAGTAATAGTACCAAATACCATTTACCAATATTTGAACTAATCACCAGCACCAACACAGTCACTTTCTTGTAGCCCACATCAGAGTTAGTCATGCAGACAAATCAAGGTGGGAAGTTTCACTAACGTGTTTATAACAGTTCAGATACTCAGATGAGCTCGTTTAAAACCAATTCAACAGTGCTATAAAGCAGATTCAAATGATTCAAGTTTGGTGCAAAAGTATTCTCCTATTCTTCTCCTCTGTATTTTTTAGTATTAGAAAACAGCCATGTTTTATCATAGGAATGGAATTCTTTCAGTGACAGATGATATGTAGGTTTTACTTAGCTACATGTCTCACTTCTCCAAGGCCTGAAAACCTCTGTAACCCACTGAACATAATAGTATTTGCCATACCATTCTACTAGTATGCCTTAAAAACATAACCTGAAAAGATTATAGGAAGAACTGAGGAGCAGAATGGAGTCTGGATGCCTCTGATCAAGGAGCTCTCTAACACCACTACCTATATCTGGGCAAGTCTGAAGGGTTCTGATGAGATAGTTCAGTTCTGCCTTTAAAACCACAATTTTGAACTATCAGATTTAAACCAGCAACTTTTATACTGGATTGAATTGCTCTTCTGCCTATTTTCAGGCTTACTGAATGCATGACACACAATAGCTAACTGCATATGAATGTGAAACAAACAGCAACTTGTTTTTCTTTTGCAGCTACTACTTAACTTTTTCCATTGCTCTCTTTCCTCTTCCCGTGACTCCATATACTGCCTTGTCAATAGATGACAGAGCAACAAAGGAATTGAATTGTGTTTTCATGTTAAGGGATACAACTTCTGCTGGATTCAGTATTGCTTTGCTTGATTGCAGCTTAATCTATAAATTGAAAACAAATATTGGTAATTTTAAAAGCACATTGTTCCAAAATAAATGCATCTGAAGGCAGACACTTTAGTAAGTTGAGGAAGTGTTAAAGAACTTGTGTAATTCCAAGTTAAAATCTGACTGTAAAGTGAATGCACACCCAGGAATTTTAGTGCTTATTTTGCTACTCACATCAAGACTATTTCCACACCTCTGCTCCACATTCAGCCAAACAGAATCAGCTACTAACTCAGCCGTTTCTTCTCCCATGACTATGTAGTAAACAATGAGACGTGCTGAAGGAACCATTTCTTGGGTTATCTGAAAAGTCAGATGTTCATACTCCAAATCCTTCATTCTCTTCTGAGTTCCAAAGCTTACTATCTTCCCTTTCGACGTGATCTATAATAGAAAAATGATGGAGAATAAAAAAGTTTTTCTACAAAATGTGTTTCTCACACGTTATCATTGCTTGCATTGAGATATAATCCAGTGCACAAAAATGCACAGTCTGTGTTAGATGAGAATTCAAAACAAAGGTGACTTAACATATAATTTAAACCTGAGACCGTTAACAATATTTTACTCTAAGACTGACAGACAGGATATGGAAGGAGCAGTTGTCTGAGCTGCATGTATTCTATACCGGGACAACTCTTGATTATTGAGGTTTTTCATCAAGGACCATATATTAAATCACAGTTCAGTATTTTATGTGGAAACCTGTGTCACTTACCAAATAGCTGTAGTGATGTATTTTATGAATATACCGACTTTGTGGATATACATTAATATTTATGAAATCCCCAACTTGTAGTATTTTGTGGTTTGAAGCCCAGTCAATATACAGGTAGCTCTGACTTAATGATGAATAAGCTTTTGCTTCATAGGTTTTACTTGCTTGGTTTTCATCTGAAAGATGTGGATCTGCAGTTTTTACCTGAAAATACAATAAAATGTCAATTTTTTTTAGTAAAGGAGGAAATAAAAACTGTGTGTCCTGACTTCTGAATAGTTTAAGTACAGAATTTTACTTAAGAAAACAAGTAATTACGACATTAAAAGCATTTTGTAATATGTTATTCAGAGGGATTAATAAAATAAAAGCCAACTCACGACTTTCTTCTTTTTAATAGAGATCTTTAGCAAGTCAAATATAAAATGGTAGTGTAGCAGCACATACATAGAGCAGAAAAGGTTAATGTTATGCCTTCCTGCATAGTGAGGGAAGCACTGAGATCTGTTTTCACATAATGATTTAGATCTTTTCTTTAATAATTATTGTGAAATAAGTGTGACAAATTAGAATATTTCATTTCAGCTCAATCTAATATAGAATTTAATAGAGAAGTAATGTTTCATTACAGCACATACATTTATAACTGATAAGTCTTTTGAGTGTAAAATCTGCCCATCGATGCTGTACATTTATAAAGTACAGAATTAAACCCTCAAATAAATAAATTAATGACACTGTTTAACTCACTTGAAACTCCAACCTTTTGCTATCAGATGGGATATTAACAACAAACAAGGCAGTGCCATCACTGATGCTTGTTTTTCTTCTCCTGGATTCTGAACCCTCTGATATCAACTCAGTCTCATCCATTTGCTCACTGAATGATTTTGCAGTGATGGTTATAGGGACATTTCCAACGAATTTCTCTCCTGTATCTTTCACCTGCACCTGTTCATCAGAATAGATAACATTTCTTATATGAATGGTGACTTTTTCAAGGAGACAACTTTCAAGCTGCTAAGCTTCTACTACAACAGCAAGTTAAAAATAATGTAAAAGGCCAATGAAAATTAAAAGCCTGTTAAGACCTACAGTAATATATAGAAAAAAAGATTAAGTCTTTGGCATTATGGTTTTTGTGTTATAATGTGCAGTGATACCACTGATGTTAACTAACCTTAATGAAGAACGGAAGTCCAGGCTTCACAAAGAGAGGAGTAGCAATCAAACTCAATTTGTAAGGAGATACAGCAAATCTGACTCCAGCAAATTCTGCTTCACCACTGAGGCCACCTAACAAGATATTATGCCCCTTTTAATAATCACATCTTAGGGCCTGTGTTTTCTGCACTTGCCTTCAAAAGGCAGCACAACCTGTCTGTTACAGTGAAGTCCTTGCATCTAAAGAGTCAACTAACGCTGTTGTGAAAACAATCAGCCAAAAAAAAAACAGTTTAATCTCTAAACACTTCTACAGTGATGGATGGGCTAGTTTAGCTTACACATTTTTGGAAGGAAGATTTCTGAATAATAAAGAAAATCTATTACTAGGGAGTAAACTGCAAGTTTCTATACTTGCAGATATGTTTTTAAAAAATAAATTAAAAAGCAACTTACCTGTAGACTCCAACACTGATACCACAATATATAAATATGACCCATCCAATTCTTCTAGACTTTGAAACCCTATAGAACTCACTGCTGTCTTACTGTTAAAATTTATCTCAGCAACTCCATTTTCAATCTGGAAATGAAATATAAAATGTTACTTTATAGTCAGTAGTTTAGAAAGAATATATAGATACACTATATGCAAATTCTAACTCCAACATGTTTCTGTTCATTGTCTGTTTTCAGAGGAAATCAAGGGTGGAGATGTTGTAATGAAGAATTCTTTATTCCCTAAAAGTATTGATAATTAATTAACCAATGGCACATATCGCAAAGGCTGCATGCAGGCCCAACAAGAGGTAGGAATAACACAGAGATATCTTCACTAAATGAGGAAAGATAATGCCTTTTACCACTCCTCCATGACTAAATCTAAATGCCAGACTAAATGAGGGAGGGATAATTGGTGGAGAATAGACTCCATAATACATCAATATAATTTGGATCTGTTTGTCTCCTGTCATGATTTGGTATTACTACATCAACCCTGTATTTTATTTCTTTTATTTGTTCTGTAATACATAGAATAAAAGTTATTTCATAGAAACTTCAATCATACAGTTTGCTCAAGTGAGTAACTGAACCAGATTACAGTGTCTCAGATGCTGCCTCTGAGTTTCATTTTAAATTGCATTTCTATGACCCCAATGATCACATTCCATAAGAAAGCTGACACTGAAGAGCTGTTGAAGCAAACTAGGAGCTGGGACCCGTTCTCATCAAATTTAATGGGAAAAACATGCAATCTACCAAAACTAGGCTTGCTGCGTCTTACCCTAGTTACGTGCATTGCATAAGGCATCATTCTTTTTTCAGTTTCTTCAATTATTCCAAAACGAAGAAAAACATCAGCACTTGGAAGTTTTTTATTATAAAAGTAGCTGAGAACAAAACAATAGAAATACTTTTAAGATCACTTTATTGGCAGCCACAAAGCATTTGGTTTTGAAGACGAGTAATTTCCTAGGCAGGAGATAGAAAACAAATGTCTGTGTAGCTTCAAACATTTCTGTTGAAAAATAATCACTTTGTAAGAGTTTTAAAAAGGGTCACAGTTCTCTCATAGAGCAGAAAGGATTGTGATGATAGGGTTCCTTGAGGAAGTAAATGAGGAAATTTCTGGACACGGGAGAATAACTCTTCAGGTAAAAGAAGACACACACACACATGTTGAGAAATCAAAGCCAAATTTCCTTACCTAGCTTTCACAACAATCCTGAAGTTCTCAAATTTATCAGAACTAATAAAGTTACTTTCTGGCTCTATGGCGATGGAAAAGCTTGGCATTGCTGAAAATTGAGTAGAAGAGAAAGCCAATGAGGTGTGTTTTTATACAGTAAGCCACAGGTACTCAGAAAGACGCCTCTGTATAGCTATCAAAAACAATGTCGGTTTCCAATGCTTTGAATTACAATATTATAGCCCCAAAATACAGCAGTCGGCTTGTCCTCAGCAAAGCAGAAATGATAAAGCCCTAAGTTATCTGCAGGTGCCCTGGCTCCACATTTTGTGTCAGTGCAGCTGTGTGAAGATGACCCAGTATAATAAAGAATGACTGTTTAGAGGCAAGTTGTATCAATACAGTCTTATACTGACTGATGTGACCGATTAGCTTGAACCGACATTGCCACCTGGCAGTACACTGCATCCCATTGCTGTGTATAAGCAGGGCAATGTTACCTCAGGCATTTCTGCATTTTCTTCTCTGTGCTGTATAACTCTCCTCTATACACTTCACTGAATAAACATAGGAAAATGAAGGTTCACAGTATGGGTACACCTTACCATATTCCTTAACTTCAAATTTGGCAACAGCCGAGGTTATGAAATTCTTCTTATACTTGGCTTCAATCTGCCAAATTCCGTACCTACAATTGCCAACAAACATTTTTAAAGATGAAAATTAATGTCAAAGACAAAAACTAATATTACTACCTAACAATATTTCATGTTAATAATTATTTAGAGAGAGAAGTTCTGCACCTGTTTTTTGCACATTTAATGCCTACTTTGAGAAGATTCTGCTTTGATACTTCAATAATTATTTTAAATTGGAAAAGAATATGCCACTGTTTAGATTATGACTATCGACAGAATTTTGTGTTTTACACTCACAAGCAGAGACACGTTTTGAAGACTGCAGATGTAACCAGAGCCATTAAGATGTTATTCACTGCCTTCTTTCAGCTGGCAGTTATCAGCTCTGAGGTCAGACAAACGCCTGTCTGTGGCTACAAGCCTGTTTCAATGCAGTCAGCAGGATAAGGACATATCACCTACCTGACTTACTATAATTTGGAAGATTTTTCTTTGCCGCTAGATGCACTGAAAAGGCATTTGCTTAATTTCCATTTGCTTTACTTTGCAGAACTTCTATGTGCAGAGCATATCTAAACATTTTCTAATTATTTTTCTAATTAATATTTTTTCTAATATTTTCTAGTCATATCTAAGACATTTTCCTGTCTTACCATTCTAAGAAATTTGATCCTATTTGCTTTAATTTACATACTACATCCATTTAATCTTTGCCATTTTGTAACATAGCTAACTTTGCTCAACAGAAATGAAAAATGCAGTCTTTTTCCCTAGTGATAGAAACGTGGCTGGAGGGTATGACCAGTTATCAATTCTCTCATTAAATAAAGGCACGTATCTACACTGAAAAATGCATTTGTAAGATATATTAGCCAAGAAAACGCTCCAAAGGGCTTGTGCAGGTTTGTGTTAGGGTCTTTCTCTCTCTGACTGGAGCACTAAGGCACAACTGCAATTTACACAGCAATTTAGAGGAAATCAGTTCCTGCAATCTTTTGGCTGTATAGCACCATGATAAAAATTATGCAAATCTACTGTTAATAGAGAGTTTCAAGAAGGATACAAAACTAATTTTTATTCAGAAAAATTTTAAAAAGTACATCAGTCAAAAATCTCTTTTTCAAGCATCTGCTAGCAGCCTTCTCCCAGCTCAGTGAATCTTCAGCACCCTCTCAAGACTAAAAGGAGAACTGACAAGGTATTTATTTTATATGCTGCTCTTACTGGAAAATTGCTGGTGATTTGCATGAATATATGTATGAAAGATGAAAGTTTCCCCTCCTTTAAATCAATGCATCTTTGATACTGTTTCTATCTCTACAGTAGAAAGCTTTAGGTTTTAGTAATCATCCTTTTTAATTGAGCATGACAAACCTACTAATAACTGTTCTTTAAATTCGGTTTTATCTCCAATATTTTCACTGACTGCACCTCCTCACTTTCTCTCATTACAGTGAGAATATGCCATCTTTTTGAAAACACAGAGAGTAAGTTTCCCACTTGACTTCAGGAGACAAATATTAGTTTAGAAGTCAACTGACGAGGATAACACTTGGTCATAAGTTCCTTATTTATACCATGGTGACACACTACGTGAAATATTAGAAATCTCCAAGTTCCCAGTCATGTGTATCAAGCAAAAGACAGTCAGACAGTCTTTAAGATAAGGCAGTATTATCTTAACAATTCTCAAAAAGCATTAAAGAAATCTACTTAGGATTAGGAGGAATCTTGAAGTCAGGAAAAGAAACTATTCCAGTAAAATCATCTTCTTCTATAATATCCACTTTTACTCCTTCAGGATCCTTTAAATCATAACAGGAAAGAGTCAGTGGTTACAGATCATTCTTAGCAAAAGGAAAAACCTTCATTCAGTGATTTCGGTGGGAGCCTGGCCATACCGTATTATTCTAAGAGTTTTGCCCATTTCACAGCACGATAATACAAAGATTGTTAGAAACAACTCAAACTGAAATTCTGATAAAACATTTTACTCTGGTTCCAATCATTAAAAGCTGTTACTACTCAACGCTTAAAATTGATAAAAAGTTACTGTAATAACAAACCTATTGTTAAAGACTAAAACCCCATAGTATAGTAGATACTGATTATTTTTTAGTTTAATTGAAATAAACAACAGTATGAAAACCATATATTATTAACATTCCCTTAAAAATCCTTTCCACATTTTTAATTTTTTCTCCATTGTGTAACAGCTTCAGATCTAGGACTTGAAAACCTCTATCCAACTGAGCAAAGTAATTTTTAGATCTTTTAAAAGATGTCTGGCCGCAAACACATCTAACAGTATTGTTAAATATTGATTGCAATGCTGATTTAGTATCTAACTGCCTTTATTGTTTTTGTGAACTACAAAATAAAAATAGTAGATTCAACTACAGCTTACCACAAATGTCAGGACAGTTTCTCGCCGAGCTGGCCGTAGTTCCTCATTCAGAGAGTAAACCCTGACTTTCACTGGAAGAATTATTACAATAGATCTCAAAGTCATAACATTATAGAGATGAAAAAAATAAAACACCCAAACCCCCAATGTTTTATCACTATTTTTAAAAGTTTTTAGTATTTCTAGAATGCTCTTGACCTTTTGTCAGTATGGTGTCCAAAGAGTGTTTCTTTATGCCAGCACTAAGAAGCCCTGCACCATTGCTCTCACACGGACTCATCACAGTGCAAGAGAATTTTCTGTCATAATCCTAGCATCTCACTTTTGCAGGAAAAGAGCTCAATCTACAGGAAACCAATGATTCAGTTATGATTTTTCACAAATATTTTTAACATATTCTCAGGAGAAGGCTTCCCTTTTTGTGTCACAGATTGTCATTTAGGTGCAGAGGGCAGGAACTGAGAGAATACTGGGAGAAGTGATTGATTTCTATCGTATGATCAAATAGTTCCAAATATTATTCTGCTGATCAAAAAATTAAATAGCAGCCCACAGCAATGCAACGTAACCAAGAGCTTAAAGGATATTAAAAACCTAATTCCTTGGGAAAGTCAACAAACTTTAACAATTAAATAACAGCCAAGAGAAGTAAGCATTATTTACCTGACTGATCAGGAGTATAAATTGGTTTGTCTGTATGGATGAAAAGAAACCCATTCTCATAGGAAACAGGAATTGTTTTTAATCTTGTAAAATGCGAAGAAACAGCTTCCAGATACACATACTGGACTGAATTCTCTGTTCTTGGTAAATCTGTTGGTTGGAGCTGGGGGAGATAAAATAAAGATTTTTAAAGAATATTTTAACGTTTTTTCAAGTATTTTTTTCTACAGTATTTTTTGTTGAGAAGAGTGTCCAAATAGCATTTAAAAAGTTCTTGTTAATTTTTATTGAATAAAAACATCAGCATCCACAAGGGTTTATTCTTGCTTACATCACAGATGATGGTCTGCAATGTTAAGCTACAAACAGATCTTTTGAAATTTTGCATTTAATTTGTGTCCACTAAAATAGCAAAGCACAAAACCCAGTTAGGAGGTTATGAGAGCACAAATTATCAGACTTCCATTTATACACATGACGAACTTTGACCACACCAAAGTTGCTGTTGTGGTTGGTAGTTTGGTGAAATGGCTATTTTGGCTGAAAAGGAAAACTGGGCCAGGAGCACTTCCTGGGAGGAATCACGCCAAGTAAAACCCTCTTGGCCATCAGCTTCCAGCAAAAATCCGTTTAGCTTCCTGCACTTTTTGCTTCCAACAAATGAGTTAAATAAAGCTTTATGGAGAAATTCAGGCCCCTTTCCAGCTTGTCACTGACAAACACACCCAAGTCTGGAACCTTGGTTTCATTACCACTTCAGCTTACCCTGAACACTCTGCTGACACATCTTGTCCACATTCAACAATTCCCCAATCTCTCCCTTTTAATTTTTCAAAGTTACTCGATTCTATGGTTAACTTCAGTGTCACTCATTTGCACTCATTTTACCAACTGTAATTTCCATTTCAGACAAACTAAAGTGAAATAAACTACATGTGGCAAACTGAGAAATCGTGGCGGTACGCTTCCCTTCCCAATTTAAACAACTGAAAACATACCATAATCTTTTCTATCACTTATAACTAAATGTGACAATAAAAACACTGCAAGAAAAGTCTGAATTCCTTACCCTTAAAGTTACAGCATC